GCGCGGGCGTGCTCCGAGGCTTTGCTCCCCATCTCCCTGGTCTGCTGGTTGGGAGACGGGGAGCAAAGCCGCGGAACACGCCCGCAGGGGGACAGCTCAAGCGCGCCCGGACTGTCCTGCTGCGGGCGTGCTCCAAGGCTTTGCTCCCCATCTCCCCGCAGACCAGGGAGACGGTGAGCAGCTTTTCTCGCCCCGGAGGACGGGGGCGGTGGACCACGGTGCATCTGGGCGTCCCGCCGCTCCTGTCCTCCGGGGCGAGAAAAGCCCCGACGTAAGTCGGATCCGCGTAACTCAGGGACTGCCTGTAGTCATAAGTATGAAATGCTTGCAAGCTGCATGGAAACTATTTTAAAACACCGTAAGAGAGGCTCAAATTAAATTTATCTCCCACCATGCCCCCAAACCATTAAGAGAACAACAACAACAAAATGCCATTGTGACTTCAGAGTAGAATAAGAGGCAGTTAGAGATAAAAAGTATTTTTTTAAATGGAAGTCAAATCCTAGAGAGTAAAAAAGAAAGAAGCACAAATGCTGGCAAGTCATGTATGCAAATGTAATAAGGCTTGCCACAAAACCAAAAAGCAATTAGATAAAGACCCAAAACCAAATGGCAATATTTTTAAAGTATATCAGAAGCAGGAAGCCTGCCAAATAGTCAGAGGGGCCGCCAGACAATTGAAGAGCTTAAGGAACTCAAAGAAGACAAAGCTGTTGTGGAGAAACTAAATGAACTCTTTTTATCAGTCTTCACTGAAGAGGATTGGGGGAGGAGGGAGAGGATATCCCCACACTCAAGCCATTTCTTTAAGGGGAAACCTGAAGAACTGCCCCAAACGAAAGTGGCAAATTTTGGAAATTTTGGAACAAATTGAAAATTAAACAGCGACAAGTCACTAGATCAGGTGGTGTTTCCCCAAAAATTCTGAAGGTACTCACTCTGAAATTGCAGAACTACTTAACTGCGATATTGAACCTGTCACTGAAATCAGCTTCTGTACCATGTGTTTGGAGGGTAGTCAATGTGATGCTTATTTAAAAAAAAAAAAAAAAAAAAAAAGGCTCCAGAGGTAATCTTGCAATTACAGGCTAGTAAGCCTAACTTTAGTATCAGAGAAATTGGCTGAAACTATAGTAAGGTACAGAATTATCAGACTGGTTGATTAACATAATTTGTGGAAGAAAGTGAACAGTTTTTGTCAGGAGAAATTATGCCATGCTAAGCTATGAGAATTCTATAAGGGGGTCAACATACACGGACAATTGAGATCGTATGGAAATAGTGTACTTGGACTTTCAGAAAGCTTTTGTCAAGGTCTTTCACCAAAGTCTGATGCAAACTGAGCAGTCATAAAATAAGAAAAAAGGGCCTCTCGGATCAATAACTGGTTAAAAAAACTGGAAACAAAGATCAGGAATAAATGGTAAGCTTTCAGAGTGGAGAGCAGTAACTAGCCAGGTCTTCTGAGGATCTGTATTGGGATCTGTGCTGTCCAACATATTCATAAATGATTGAGAAAAGGGGGTGAGCAATGAAGGGGCAAAATCTGCCAGTGAGAGAAAGTTACACAACATAAGAAAGTAAACTAGGTGACTGGGCAATAAAAAGGCAGATGAAATTCAATGTTGATAAGTGCAAAGTAATGCACATCGGAAAAATAAATTCCAAAGATAAATACAAAGTGATGGATTCTAAATAAGCTGTTACCATTCAAGAAAGAGTTATTAGCGTTCCTGAAGGATAGTTCTCCGAAAACATCTATCTGCTCATTGTACAGTAGAAGGAAAAAAAAATCTAAAAGAATTAGAAACCATTAGGAAAGGGATAGATTGTAAAACAGAAAATATCATAATGTCACTGTAAATCCATGAATGCCATCCTTGAGCATTGTATGAAGTTCTGGCTGCTCTTTCTACATAAGATATGTTAGAATTGGAAAAGGTAGAGAGGAAGGCAACAAAAATGGGGAGGGGTTTGGAATGGTTTCTGTGTGTGAAGAGACTGAAACAGCTCATCTTTGAAAAGAGAAGTGAGAGAAATAGGACAGAGGTCTATAAAATCAGAAATGTTGTGGAGAAAGTGAATAGGAAAGTGTTATGTACCCCTTCACATAAAACACAAGAACTAGGGGTCACCCAGTGAAATTAACAGGCCATAGACTTACAGCAAAAAAAAAGGGGGGGGGCATTCTTCACAGAATGCACAATCACAGGGCAAAAGGGAAAAAACGTTCATGGAGAATATGCCCATCAGTGTCCATTAGTCAAGGTGGTTAGGCCCATGCCCTAAGGCTGTGTCTAGACTACATGCCTCTGTCGGCAGAGGCATGTAGATTAGACAGATAGGCAAAGGCAAATGAAGCCGTGATTTAAATGATCGCTGCTTCATTTACGTTTACATGGCTGCCGCGCTGAGCCGACAAACAGCTGATCAGCTGTTTGTCGGCTCGCGCGCTAGTCTGGACGTTCCCCCTGTCGACATCAAAGCCCTTTGTCGGCAGCCCCGTTATGCCTCGTGGAATGAGGTTTACCGGGGCTGCCGACAAAGGGCTTTGATGTCGACAGGGAGAACGTCCAGACTAGCGCACGAGCCAACAAACAGCTGATCAGCTGTTTGTCGGCTCAGCGCGGCAGCCATGTAAATGTAAATGAAGCCGCGATCATTTAAATCGCGGCTTCATTTGCCTTTGCTGAACAAACAAATCTACATGCCTCTGCCGACAGAGGCATGTAGTTTAGACGTACCCTATGTGTCCTTAAAACCTCCAACTGCTAGAAGCTAGGACTAAGTGACAGGAAATGGATGGATCATTCAAATTGTCCTGTTCTGTTCATTCCCTCTGAAGCATCTGGCACTGTGAGAGGACAGGATACTGAACTAGATGGACCATTCGTTTGATCCTGTATGGCCATTCTTATGGTTGGGGGGGTAGTGCAAGTTTTACTTTAAAACAAAAATCAAACCAAAGGGAAATGGCATGGAAAAGGATAACGCTTTTCATATTATTATTGATTTATTTTTATAGCATCTTTCTGCAAGGTAATTCTTTAAGGAACACCAGGTTTTTATTGTCCATTATCTTGCACTTTGTTCCATTATCCTGCACTTATGCCTTTGTCACGTGAACAGAAGTTGAGTATAAAATGTTATCACTGGTGTGACTGAAGAATTCTAATTTGGTGTATCTTTTACACACTATTTCCTTGCACTTTGCACACGTAAAAATGATTGCCAAGGAACACAGTGGAGAATCAGACCCACTGTTTTAGTTTGTAGATCAAGTACACTTCATTGTGATATATGTGACAAATCCACATATAATGAGAAACAGTATAAGAACCACCACATTGCACATGTTTTCTGGGAATAAGTGAACCTATGTCTTTGCCTAGAACTGAGTGCTTCCAAATGAAGCACATACAGGTGGTCCTTGAAATGGCATGTGTCGTCATTAAGATTTCTATTTTATGGCACTATTTTCACTCACTTATAACTGTGGCAGATTTGAACTGTTTTGACTGATGTTTTCCAAGCCAGGTATCTGTCTCGGGCTAAAACTCCTTGGAAACTTTCAGCAGAAATGATTTAGTCATTTCTGAGTTTAAGAAAGAAAAAAACACATTGTTTTGCCCACCTTAAAAAATTCTATCCACCATTTCATTGAGAAGCTCTCATGCCCCCATGATTTGGAGCAAGGACTTGGACATTTGGCAGGAGGTGGCCTACCCTCGGGAATCTGCCTTTTGCCAGCCCCTTGAAAATTTGTACGACTTTGACCAACGTATAAGTCTCTGCTCCAAATCAGTAGAGGTTTGATAGAAGCTGCCAGCTAGATTCTCCCAATATTCCATCTGCAGCAAGCATGTTCCATGCATACACAGATCCTACATGATGACAGGATAAGCATGTGGTATCCCCTCAGAGCTCTGCATATGTTTCATCCTGGCTGCCACTGCTGCACTAGGTACCAGAACTCAAATCAGGGAGACTATGCTCCCGGTGCACTTTAGGTAGGAGTCCAGGACCTTGTCAAAAAAAACTGTTTCATCATACAGATACAGGAGAAGGGAGACAAAATGAGCTTGCACAGGTAACGTTCTTTTATTTCCTAACTTTTCAGTGTGTGACCATGCAACCTTAATGTTTTTAAGGTAGTTTTTGTTGTCAGTATGAACAGACAAAGCTATCAGGGGCTGAAAGCATATGCTCACAAAACTGTACTTTATGTGTGTCTATTATAATCTACAAAATACTATCTATAGCATTTTCTGCACAACAATTATTGATCAAAGGATTTTTTTGAAGTTGTAACTATACATACCGCAATAATCATTCCGCTTGCTCCATTGAAGTTGTCAATCCAACCCTACAAAAATGGGAAACGACATTTTTTATTATTTCTTTAAACAGTATTTAGCTCATACAGTCTTTCAAAAGGGTTACAGTGCTGTGGTGTGGATGAAGTCATTTAATTAAAAAGGATGCTAGTTTAGCTGGGACAAATGCCAGGAAGCAATAGCATAAAGTACTGATTTTAAATAAAGGATACATGTTAAATAGACAGTTTAGTTTGCAATTTGTGATACAGTCTTTGTTTTAAAGATCACCACTTTAGAGTGATAATTTGACTGTCCCCCAAATCTGATTTTCCAAATTCCATGTAATCTCAGTATTTATGCAGTCATCCCATGCTTATAATTAGTACCCTGAGTGGATACAAAATTGGTATCTGCATCTGCAAAAATGATCCCTGGATATCCCCCTCCCCATCCACAGATTCGGACACCTGTGGATATAAAGTAAATATCCACAAATTTGCAAGGTTCTAGATGCAAAATTTGTATCCATATCCACAAAAATGAGCCACAGATATCTGCATCAATATCTACAGATGCAGATACTCATGGATATAAAGTAGATATCCACAAAGTTTCACACCTCTGCTTATAAAGATCAGAGTGGCTTGCCTGTGTAAGGGTGAGATTGCAGGCAATTGATTTGATTTTCTGAGGTGTTCAAAGGACAGGAAAGAATAATATTGAACAGCACTCTGTTGCAGTAAGGAAAGTCACATCTTGGGGGAAGTTAATGTTAATGCCCCACTTTGACCTTCCAAGATGGGCATTTTGGCCCAGATCCAAGGTGGTGTCTGAACTTTGCTTGATGCCACTCAGACAGTGGGGCTATGTCTAGACTGGCATGATTTCCCACAAATGCTTTTAACGGAAAAGTTTTCCATTAAAAGCATTTGCGGAAAAGAGCGTCTAGATTGGCACGGACGCTTTTCCGCAAAGCACTTTTTGTGGAAAAGTGTCCGTGCCAATCTAGACGCGTTTTTGTGCAAAAAAGCCCTGATCGCCATTTTCGCGATCGGGGCTTTTTTGCGCAAAACATATCTGAGCTTTCTACACTGGCCCTTTTGCGCAAAAGGGACTTTTGCCCGAACAGGAGCAGCATAATATTTCCGCAAGAAGCACTTATTTCAGACAATAGGAAGTCAGTGTTCTTGCGGGAATTCAAGCGGCCAGTGTAGACAGCTGTCAAGTTTTTCTGCTTTTGCGGAAAAACTTGCCAGTCTAGACGCAGCCCAAGAGATGTAAAGGTGACTAAATCACCTATATGACCAAGTACAAGCCTAGGACATGTTGCACCTGCTAATGCCAATGCTATACTTGGCCTAAAATATTTTTTCCACTATATAAATGTAGCTGCATTCAGTTGCATGTGTGATATGCCTAATATTTCAACATTTCCTATAAATGCACATCTGGGAGTTGCAGAATGCCATTTTATGTCATCAGAAAGATATTTAGACCCTGTTTCAAAAAACCCCTTACAACTGGCCCTACCTGGCATTGCTAGTAGACTGCTCAGTATAAAGGTCAGGGATTGAATGTGCAGGAAGCCAAACTTATCCTGTGAGCCTGAGGAGTGTTCCCCCACCTTGTGCTGAGGTACATTAGCATCGCAGTGGGGAGAAGCCCTCTGGAAGCGAGACCTCCCTCTCCAGAATGGCAAGTCCAGCATTTCCCACCAACATTAAATCCAATTTATTTGTTTGTTTTTTTTTTAATTGCCCCTTTCAACATACAGATGTGAATCTTTTTCCGGAGACATTGATTGAGTCATGACGTTCTGCACCACATGCTGCCCAATCCCATCTCCCACTGTCCTCCCTGGGGACTTTGAAGAACCGCATCTAAGATGACCAGCAGGCATCTTTGTAACAAGGGTTGCCCCTAGGCAGTAAGGCTGGATGCAGAGCAGGAGCCTCAGCTGGATCTGGAGAGCACTCAGTGGGAAACTGTTAACAGAAGGGTAATCAGGCTTACTGGAAAAGGCTCATGCCAGCTGGCTCCCACGATGGATGGCCTGATGATGGCAATGTTGAAGTGCTCTTTCTGTTGCTGGACCAGGTACTCTGCCAAGGCTTTGGTGTAGGTATATGTGTTGGGCCAGTCCCCAATCAGCTTGGGTGTGATCTCTTGAATGATTGATTCATCCATCCACCTAGAAGAACAAAGGAAAGAATTCTGTTAACATAAGCAACACAAACAGATGAATGAAAGGAGGAAGACAACAGCTTTGTCAGTGCACTCTGCTGTCTACAGCTTCAAGACTCTTAGCTTCAGCAGGGAAATCAACAACTAGAATACTTTTAGGCTAAAGGAGGAATAACTGGCAAGCACCATACAAGACACAACCACAGAGATCCATGGCATCTGGCACATAGGGAATTAATACTCCTTTATAGGGTAATAGATTTTAAAGCCAAAAGGGGCCATCAGATCAGCTATTCTGACCTATATTTCCTAAGTAGAAACAGGCAACAATTTTCAGCTACATATTTTTTCTCCTTTGAAGTGAGTTTTTCAGCCAACAGCCCAGACTGAAGAAGTCCTGCCCCAGCCAAATAGAGCTAAAGAGACAGGACTTTCATAGTCTAAAAGCCTGGAACTATCATCTTTGGCATATCAAAATCAAGGGTAGATGCAACCAGTTTGCACACATTCCTCCAAGGGAATGAGACAGCTGAAGCTCTGTCTACGGTAAGATTTTTTTCACTTATATAACTACTCCAATTTAGCTACACCAGTGAGCCACTGGGATAAAATCCTGGCTCCACTTAAGCCAATGGGAGTTTAGACATTTATGATAATGGACCAAGGATTTCAGACTAGATATAGATGTGCTGCACTAACACTGTTTACTGATGAAAATTTCCCTAGTCTAGATGAGTCATGATGAAAGTTCATAACCTGGCCCTATTCGTCCCCAGCTAGGCATGAAAAATGTTGGTACAATTTGATTCCACCAAAAGTTTAGCAAGATTAGAAACGTTTAAAATGTCAGTTATCCACTTCAATGATATTGTAGTTGTATTTATTATATGAATATGTGCCATTATGACTTTATTTGCATGCTGGGCTCTTCCCAAAAATCCACATCCCCTGTCTCCCAACACTAAAACAACTTCCTTCCCCCAATTTTCATGTGTTTTGTTTGCTCTAGCCAAACACAAAGGTTTGGCCTCTTTTTTCCCCAAGGTAGTGAGGCTCAGTGGATAAGCTGAGCCTGCTATTTGAGAGACCTGAGTTCTATACCAGAGGTAGCTTTGTAGAGCCTCTCTTATCCTCGGTATCCCCATTTGTTAAAGGAGATGAATTATATTTGCTTTTCCTTCTGCCAAAAGGCATTTTATGGAAGTGAATGAATGCTAGGCTTGCTCAGTGAAAGACAGAAACCTTGCCTTCAGTCATAGCTATGATTATGCATCTGTATTTGCTCCATAACACTGCTTTTGTTTTCCCAATGTAATTGAGCCATCATGGGAATAAACCATAAGGAGTACCAGGGCCAATTTACCAGATGTTGCAACTCGTCCATCTAAAATATACTGTCAAATGCCCAGCTAACATGCCCTGTAACTACATCAATATCTTGGATATGCCTTCATGTCATTCTGAGTTCACAACTGTGATATAATTAATCAGTGTTTCCATCATGGAAGCACCAAACCGACAATTCCTTATGGCCTTATGCTTCCCTACATTTTCTGTGACCTACATTCAAGGTTTTGAAATGCTAACTCATGTAGGAACTGCTTCTGCTCACTGTTTTTGGTGCCTTATGAAATCAAAGAAAAATGCTGTGGCTAGCTGTCCATTGCTTCCCTGCTCTACCAAATAGACATGGAATTTCCCCCCCGAGAAAAAGTGACTTTCTGGGTTAAGGTTTTCCACTTAACACAAATAAGATGCTCCCTTATGTAAATTAGAACTGACCTCCTTTTACATTTCCTATGCTATTATAACCAGGGACAGTGAGCACTCTGCTTTAGTTCACATTTTATACACTGTGCTGTGCTCCTTACCTCAGTACACCTTCCAAAGCTGATTTCCCTCAGCTTTAGATTAAGACAAACCTTACTTGATGTAGTAGATTATACATTTCCTCTATTGACCTGGTGACAATCAGAAGTGTGACTTTTTGGTTTGCACAGATTAATCTTAAGGTTTCAGTTATATCATATTTAAAACCAGGGAGATAAAAGGAGGAAAATGGGAAAAGAAACAGCTTGGAGCTGTGACCAAGGAGTGTAGCTGAGTAAATAATCATAAATACAAACTAAATCTGTCATTGAGAGTTAAAGGATCTGTTAGATAGCAATGACTGCAGGGTCAGGCCTTTTAATAGCTTTGTAGAAATTCTCTTTTCATATTGGGCCTATAAAGCTTCGTAAAATTCCCATTACACAGCATAATAGCCAAAGTCCTACAACTGTAGAAACATGAATCTGAATGACCTGTTCCTGTTTCTACTGGTACTGGCTACTATAATCCTGAACAACAGGGGCACAGCAAGGCAGTAATGTATTGCCATCCTCAGACATACAGACCTTTAAGAAATTGTCTGTGACATTTAAGAAGAGAGACATATAGATGCTTGTTCAGTAGAATGCTTTAAAATCAGTTTTCAAGTGATAGAAATGTAGCTGTGTTAGTCTGGTGTAGCTGGAAAAAAATACAGGACTATGTAGCACTTTAAAGACTAACAAGATGGTTTATTAGGTGATGAGCTTTCGTGGGCCAAGTGAGTTATAAGATCAAGAACACATATTCCTGCGCATCCAGAAATATAATTTATGCTATCATGTGCCGAAAGTGTCCGTCTGCTATGTACATTGGACAAACATCTCAGACACTTCGCCAAAGGATTAATGCCCACAAAACAGATATCAGACAAGATCACAAAGAAAAAACAGTTTCTTGCCATTTCAACCAGAAAGGACACTCTCTCAATGACTTAACCACCTGCATTCTGCTACAAAGACCTTTTACATCTGCACTTGAAAAGGAATCCTCTGAACTGTCATTCATGTTAAAATTCGACACTCTCCAAAAAGGAATGAACAAACACTCAAGCTATCTTACCCATTACCAAGATAGCTTCCCCAATTATCACCTCTAATACCATTAACTCACAAACATCCCACTCTCCCCATCTCTAATATCATCAATTCACAGACACTTACCTTCCTTCCCCCTCCCCCCCACCGCATCCCCCTCCTGTTCTGCAATGTGATTTGTCCTTTTCATATTTGTTCTTTTTTTTAATTGTATCCTTTGGTATATACGGTTGTGACTACTTTCTTCCACTATTTGATCTGAGGAAGTGGGTCTGGCCCACGAAAGCTCATCACCTAATAAACCATCTTGGTAGTCTTTAAAGTGCTATATAGTCCTGGTTTTTGTTCCAGTTTTCAAGTGGGCATTTGATATAGCTATGAAGGGACACTCACATCTGGCTGCATGTAACTTGTCATTTCTTATCCCTTTTTGCTGATACCATCCATGTAATTCTTTGGATATATGTGGGATGGGGAAAAGGATTAAAGGGAAAATTTCCTTACCTATTAATTATTTTTCTTTGAGCCCTTCTGGACTCATGCACAGCTTGGATATAGTTCCTCCTCAATAGCTGAAGAAAGGATAATACAGTAGTCTAAGACCATCATTCCTGTGTCTGTCCTCCTGCCCATTCTTTGTCTCTCTCCCTGAACCAATCAATTCTCTGCTTCTCACATTCCCCCTTAGTCTCCTGGTGCCCACCTACCTTTGTATTTTTCTTATTTTTCCGCATCATAAGTCCCTGCTCTTGACTTTCTCCCTCTTACTTTCCCATGTACCTCTGCAAACACACCCACCCCAAGTCTCCTTCTTGCACCCTTACGGTTTCCAGACCACTTTCCAAATTAAGAGCCACTGATCCTTGCTGAGGGATCCTGAGCTTCAGAGCCTTAAAAATCAATATGAGGCAGAGGTTGTTTTTGCTATGGGCACCCTTTGTGTCACCTGCAAAGGCTGCAGGGAAGTGGCAGCCATCTTAACTGAGGGCAGCCAGTGGCTTCCATCCCATTGTGAGCAATGGAAAACAGAAAACATGTTGTGTAAGGACAAGGTTCACAAGAATGCCGCCAGAGTTCAGACAACCATGAGAAAGTGCGAGGCAAGAAAATCACCAACCAACCAACCAAACCACACAGCAACCAAGGACTGAAAGCTGTATAAACTGCTGAGGCAAACACAGAGCAGAACAGTGAAGCACCAACACCGAATCCTCTATCTCTCTGAGGCTTTCCTCATTATTCTCTTTTCCTGTGCAACCTGGAGCTTGCTCTAGAGGCAGATTTACACAAACATATCGTCAGAAATTCCTTCTGGCTTCTGAAGCTCATTTTGTTCTTTGCTCAGGTCTTTTTTCCGAGCCAGCACTTGCTGGTGACAGACAATTGAACTCTGCAAACTGGCATACCCCAATGTGAGTGGTGAAGGCAGGAGGTACTGATATAATTAAAGGAATTTTTAAGTTATTCTGACTCCATATGCTGGCTGGGGAGAACTGTATTCAAAACTCCAGGCTGTTAGAGAAAAATCAAAGACAGAATAATATTTGACATTACATTTTCTGGTTAGTACTCAGAAAGTGAAATCAATTTTTCTTAGCATACTGGGATTCAAGGGCAAAAGCCAATTTCTGTTCTTACCTAAAAGAAAAGGTGAGCAGATACTGTTAATGCCCATCTCTGAACAAGTCAGAGGGAAAAGAAAGCTTACACCTGCAACCTGGGCTAATGGCTGGCAGAATTAGAGCTGATATGCAAATGGAAAATGATTTGCTAAGGAAAAGGATAGCAGAACATACAGCTGTGGGGAAGTTTAGTTCTTCTCAGGAGAAGGCTTCTCTGGGATCCCTGTGAGCAAGTTTTGTTTTTATTTCTAATTATCCAACCATTCATTTTGCTCTCCTGCAGATTTACTGAATTCTCCAGCTGAGCTGTGATTTTCAATAGAGAATGAACCTGGCCCTGCAGATGGACACAGAGAGAAAGCAACTGGAAAGGAACCACTAGAAAGCGCTGAACTCGGCAGTCTGGGCTCCTGGTTCTTACAGGGTTAGAGTGAGGTGTCATCATTTTAAACTGCTTCTGAAATAGTTTAAACTGATTCACTCCACTGAAATAAGTGAAGTTACACTGACTAACTATAGGATAATACAATGGTGAATCATGCTCACTTTCAGAAGAGATACAGCTCCTATGGAGGGAGCAAGAGCATTGGGATGCAGAGAAGAAAGAAGCACTGTGCCATTCTCACTACCACAAACAAGCACCGTCAGCTGACTTCATGATGGACCATAAAGAATCACATGCCACAATAGAGAAAGACTATGGAAAAAATAGCTGAAATATTAGAATTAATATATCTGCATCATTGTATTGTATTTCCTATTCAAAATGAAATCAAACTACAGTTGGAAGGTCAATCCAAATGACAATCCAATGGGACTTTTACGGACCTTCAAATAAAGACTCAGAGGTATGTTTCTATTGCTAGTATTTCCAGAAAATGTAAATAAAAATAGATTGAAGGGGAAGACCAAAAATGCTAACATTATGGAATACAATCACATTGGAATGATTCTCCAAAGAGTATTTTGAAAGCTGATCTCTTGAAGATATTTGGAATTCAAGTTATCAGCTCCTGGTGTCTCCTTCTTCTATTACACACCCACATCACACCACGCTAGCTGCTGTGGAAGTGTGCGGAGCACTGCAGCTATAACAGGTCTGGGGGAGGTTTGTGAGCAATCCAGGTTTTGTGCAGAGGTGTAGCATCACACTAGCATTAGAAAGGAAAGCTATGTCTGTTTCTACTTACTCCACTAAGTCGCAGAGCTTCTTGGTCTCAACAGGTGGAGGGTAGATGACTTCATCGATATTTCTCCTATTACAATTTGCATAGGCAGTGGAGATGTGGATAAAGGCCTCAAGCTTCTGCATCTGCCGGGCCAGCAACAGGAGCTGTTGTGTGCCCATGACATTCAGCAGCAGGGCATGTCTAGACAAGGGCAGAGAAAAACAAACAAAAGGAATTCACAGGGAATGACTGTATTAAAATGACACATACAGTACTGCAAACCACTCCTCAGAGGCAAATCTCCACAGTGAAGATAGAAGAGGAAGTTTAAATGAGATGCAAGAGGCAAAATTAGTTTCAAACCTGTAGTGTTTGAATTGTCTACTATATATCTGCAACTCTTATCAAAAACTATAATGCAGGGGTATTTGCCTCCAGTCCAGTAGAATGGGAAGAAAGTTCCTCTTTAATTTATTATGGAAACGAAAACTGACAACATCTCTTTGCAGGCATGTTTGCTGAACAACCATTCCACCCCAAGGTAAATACAAGTATTTAAACAGAAGAAAATGAAGTGTTGTTCTTACTGACTTTTTAGGTCCATTTAGTATTGTCAGGATTTGAATTACATAAGCTATATCAACATACTAGGAATTCCAGATAAATACCAGAGCAATGCTCCTATACAGAGCAATGAAACGATACTGGAAAAAGCCAAAGTTACAGATACTAAAACTAGTGAATCAGTTGTGGGGAAGGGTTGTG